TCTCTCCCCGCCTCCCCACCTATGTGTGTGTGTGTGTGTGTTTGTGTAATTCGGTCATGAGAAAGGAAGTCCTGAGACAACTTGGATGAAACTTGGGGGCATTACATTAGGTGAAATAAGTCAGACACAATACCACACAAGTGAGAACCACCAAACTATGTCACTTATATGCAGATTATAAAAAATGTCGTACAGAGGTTAGGCGTTGGGGGAACTGGGAAGACTCTGGTCAAAGGCTATAGGGTATAGACTTCCAGTTATATAATGAAAAGTTCTGGGACCTGCATGTACAGCAAGGGAAGCACTGTTAATGCTGCTGTATTCTAATACCTGAATGCTGTAGAGAGAGCAGGTCTTGAATGTTCTCACATACAAAAAAAGGAAATGGCAATTATGGGACAGAAGAGAGGTACCATTTAATGCAATGAAAAGGTGTCACTCCACAATAAATAAATGTTATCAAATCAACACTTTGCAATGGTATGTGTCAATTATGTCTTAATAATTGGGGGAAAATAAGAAAAAATAAAGGGTCTCAGAAAAACAGAAACTGCTACAAGGGACCACAGAGAGAATGTCCAAACAGATCTCAAACATATACAAAGCAGTGAACAGGCTTCCAGATTGCAAAGAGTGCCCTTGAAAAAGAAGGACCAGGAAGAAAGAACAATGCAGAAGACCAAGACTGGAGAGGGGAGAGGCAGCCAAGAGGTGAAGAGAGAGCAATCGGAGGACAAAAAGCCAAACAAGACACATCACTGAAATTTTAAGGAAATTTGCTGCACGACACCACAGTATTAGAAATTCCCTTCTTGATGTATTTATAGTTTTATGCAGATCAGACAAGACACTTACAAGAAGCATTATTTGTTTCTTGTAACACCAACCACAGGAAGAGCCAAAAAGGATGTCATGGGAGAAAAAGCAGAACTACCTCACTACCATGAAAAGTGTAACAACAAAAATCGAAAGTCTGAGGGCATCTAAATAAACTGTCTGTGCCAAAGCTGATTATAGTAAAACCAGGAGGAAGTTGAGCCTTGGTTTTGGAATGACTGAGCTGTGCAGAGAAGGAGAGCAGCCTGCACAGTCATCAGCACACAGGAGCCCATGATTCCACGGTCACCATGCAAACAGCGAAACCTGGGCTCCGCTAACCCCTGAGCCCAGCCAGCCTTAAGCAGCTTCTACCCCCACTTGCTGGCGTGCCCTGGGGAGGGAGCCGTGCAGACAACAAGCCTGTGAGGAGCTCAGCCACCAAGGCTGGCCTCCCAAGAGGTAGAAAAGAAGCCCCTGACCTGAGAGAGGTAGAAACCTCACTTGTGAAAATTCCAGAGCGCAGCATGCTTTCTTTTGGGATTGGATCATTTTTCATGAACAACTGCTAGAAGGGGTCACTTCACAAGGGATACAATAGGAAACAGCCAGGGGACAAGTCAAGTGACAAGTCCCACTAGCACCAAGGGAAAGGAGCAGTCAGCTTCTCGTAGCTCTACCCGGTCAGTTACATGCGCAGCTCCCTAGACGGGGCCATTCCTATCTCCTCTGGCAGCGCCCGTCAGGACGCAGGCGGACCTCGTTTATGGTGTAATGACAAAGCTGAAAGTATTGAGAAATTCACAGTCTCCTTTCTCCCTTACTCAGCCCAACTTTCCCCCTTCCTCTCTCTATTATGGTATCTCTAGCTTGGATCTGCAAAAGACTGCTTCTCCAGCATTTTTGAAGGAAATCAAGGAACCTCACTATAGCCATTCAAGCCATTTTCACATCTGCTGCTTTCTGTCTTCATTTCAGTAAGTGGTTTTTAATCCCTTGTTACATTTTTACTAGTGTGCTTCCGGATTGCCCTCCAGGGACTCTTCACTGCCACCAGTTTTGAGGCTGACCTGCCCTCTCTAAGCGCTTTCAGAAACTCAACACCTACCAAAATCACCGACCTTCTGGCTGCCTTAATTACTAACTTCTCTCATATTTGATATCATTAACTCTTGATCTATGTATGAATAAGTCTTTATTACTGTTCTCCACTCATCAGCCATCTTGGTCTGCTTTTATATTTTGCTTTCTCGATTCTTCTATTAGTCTACTTAAAACTGAACTGGCCTAACAAAAGTCTTCTTGACCGTGACATTGTGATTATGACCCATATCACACTGGTAATGTGGGACAGCACTTTTCAGTGTACTCTGCATGGATGTAGGGAGATGTGGTCCAAATATCAGCCACTTGTGGGTCCCAGGGCTGACACAGCTGCCGGGATGTTGGTTTCCATTTGGTCATGCCACTGCTCACTGGTGCAGAGGGGAGGGGGGGAGGGCCTCTTTAGATCCAGCCAGGTTAGTTTTCAAGTCAAGAAACTATGCCCCCACATGTTTCTTCTAACACTTACTCCTGCTCACTCTGACCTTACTCTTCCTTGCTGCTTTCTTCTATAAGGTCACAGGTTTTTTTTGTTTTTTTTTTTTTTGGTGTCTTAAATAGTTTGTTTGTTGTTGGTGTTGTCCAACATCTCACAAAGAGCTGTTAACACTTGGTGTCTCTGACACCAACTCTGAGGGACCAATAGTGACCATCACTACTGGTCAGTGCTGTCCAGAACTCCTGGTGACTAGTAATGACCATCACTACTGGCCAGTGAGGTCCACCTCTGTTGACAGGTGACCAGTACTCTGCTTGTACTTCTGGTGGACACTATCTGGGTAAGATAGTCAGTCACTTGTGGCTACAGTTCAAAAGAACACCTGTACCCCATGTCCATTGCAGAATTATTTATAATAGGTAGGACCTGGAAACAACCCAAATGCCCAAAAACAGATGACTGGATCAAGAAGATATGGTATACATACACAATGGAATATCACTCAGCAATCAAAAGAGACAAACCCATGCCATTCGCAGCAACGTGGATGGAGCTAGAAGGAACCACGCCCAGTGTAATAAAAAAATATCGGATAGTTTCACTCATAGCAAGAATATGGGGAACCGAATAAGACATCAGTATAAAAAATAATAACTATGAAACACAACAAAGCAAAAACAGACAATTATAAATCAGAGACTTCCTGCAGGGGAGGAGGAGGGAGAGAGATCGAGGGAGGGAAGAGCACAGGGGAATGTGATGATGGTGCACGGGTGCACTGGTGAAGGAAATTCTATGGGGACTACACCTGGGGGGGAGGGAAACAAATATTATTTAAAAAATGAATAATGTTTGTAGGGTAAAGAAAATATCAGGCTTTTCTGCCCTTCCACCATCAGGATAGATGATGGATCCTTGTCCTGAATGCATGCCTGATGGCGGGCACCTGGAATAGGGTGTGGGCATAGGCAGATGGGATTCAGCTGAGCTAAGACTGTGCTTTTAAGGGCGGTGTCACGGGGGGACGCGAGCAGCCCCAGCCAGCAGCAGCAGAACCTGAAGGAGAAGCCGAAGCAGAAGCAGAGAACGCCAGAAAGCCCAGATAGAGTGAAGACTTGCTGGGGCTGGAGGCCTGCCAGCCTCCCAGCCCCCAGCCAGCACCCTGCCTGCCATATGCCTGGTGAACCCCAAATAAAAAACCTGCAAAACTACTGAGGACTCTGACTCCTCCTTTACCTGGTCTGCATGGGATCAGAAAACCTGCACTGTATCCAGTCCTGCCCCTTACAATGTTGTAAAAAAAATTTAAAAAAAGTCATCTGGTCCTGCAGTTTTGATTATTGTTTCAGTTTCTATAAGGTCACAGTTTCTAAAGTCACTCCCTGACCATGTGTCCATGCTGTGGCGCGCTGCTCTGCATTCAGTCTAACAGCCGACTGGACTTTGATTCTCAGCCTATGGTCTTTTCTTTCCATTCACCTGCAGTCTTTAGTCACGCTTTTTCTTGAGTTTGACTCAATTCCTGTTACTTGGTTTTCCTTTCTAAAAATGACACCTTTTCCATATCTGAAAATCTATTTCCTTCAATCTTCACCTTAGCTTTCAGTTGCTCAATAACTAAAATACTCTTTTGTCTTTCTAGCTATAACCCACCTTCCCTTACCTTTTTCTCAGCTATACATGTCTTTCTGCTAGACGATGAGAGGCCTAACGTGTTCTTAATGGCCCCATCATATTACTAAACAGTACTGTAGAATTTAATTCTTGCCTGAATCTGTCTCAAAAATGATACCCAAGTTTACATACAATATGATTATACAAAGGGCAGAGAAAGGTCAAGAAGTGTTTAGAGAGCAACCTGTAAAAACAAGTCTTCTCCGACTCTTACATCTACCCATGTTTATTCAATTAACTGATGGCAGGCACAGGGAAGCAGCACAAGGGGGAGATGGTCAATGGGAAAACATGGCTAGAAAAAGACTGGGAAGGTCATTCTGTGAAAAGGAGGGAGCAATCACAGGCAAATTCAAATTGGCATATGTATATTTAAAATGTTTGTGACTTCTATGCCTATCTGCATCAGAAGATGCACGCTGAAAGTTCACCTTCATGTTAGTGGAATCACATGTATCAAGTAACACTTATTAAGCACCTGTTTTCATAAATTACTATAAAATGGAAACAGTTCCTCCAAATGATTCAAAATTCAGCCTCACATCCATTAGCAGTCAAGTGGAAGTCAATGTGAGGCTGTTGCATGATGGCTTCTGCAGAAAGTGTGCCACCCTCCAAGTCATGGCAGCCAGAGACACTCCAGAGTCTGTGCAGACCAGAAAAGAACACGCCTGAGCCCACACACCCTCTGCCTTCCACTGCTGCCACAGCTTACCTAGTCCAACAGGAACAGTCCCCCTTCTCCTGGCCCAGCAGTTTTTGGTGTAAGTTCCATGATCTTAAGGATCACCCCTTGCACAGCTTGGTGGCATAAACATTGTAGGAGCTTGTCTTTCTTTTTAGCCCAGAGCTAGTGGTAGTGTTGGGGGGGTAGGGGAGGATACTGAATAAATAAAGGAACCAGAACTTGAAAATAGGATAAGAAACTATGACAAGATTAGCAAAATAAAGATATCAAATGTGATACCTGATGGGCAAGAATATAGATATTGTGTCCGACATCTTTAGGGGAAACACCATCATCTCCGCCCTCATCATCCCCGTGATCGCATTCCAGTCCTTGGTTATAGGCGTTCTTCATCACATCCACCTATCAAGAAAGAAAAACACGAACAAGAAGCTTCAAAAGCCATATCCAATAAGCTTTTTACATTATTTATAAGATTTTTAAATCCTCCTAACACTTAAAAAACATAAAAGAACTTTTAAGTGAAAACGGCCTCAAAGACCATCTTTATTGAAAATAAACTGGAACCCATTTTTCCAGCAATATTCCCTCTTTTTCTTGTGAAATTTTGCTTTGGTCTTTGAGTGTTGACAGTGCCAACATTCCCATGAATTCGGAGACTCTGGAACCCATAAGAGCACCCATTATCTACTAAGTGCCCACCAGGTAACTGGAAAAGATGGTGCTGGACATTGTGCTGGGCACTAAGAACCCAATCGTGTACCCAGCAGATGCACTGCCCTCAAGGAACTTAGCTGTTCAGTGAGCCACTCAGCACCTCATCCAGAAAAGAAAGCAACACTCCTACCACAGGCCCAAGTATAAGGCACCCAGGAAGCTCGGCAAGAGGGTTGGGGGTGAGTCACAGGGAGAAAGGGGATGGTTGGGATGAAGGTGTTGTAGGCAGAGGAATGAAGGTTCCTGTCCACTCCTGTAGATGAGTGAAGCTGTAACTCATTGTTCCATTTAACACTGAGGATAAGGAAGGCCCCTGCAGATACTAGAATCTCATCAGACACTCAATCAAACTGTTTCCTATCTCTCTCCTCTCTGCCCTCCTTGGTGCCAATCTTTACTATTAAAGAGAAGGTAAGAAATGTGGTGCTGTCCTCCATCAGCTTCCCTCACAGCTCCAACAATGGCGCTGACAAGTGGGCTTAGTCCCTGGGGTGCTGAGCTAGATGGTTTGCATATGTTCTCCATGCTTTTGAAACCCAGTGCTTTTATAACACACTGATATAACTTCAAAATTTCTAAGGCACACGTGAGGAGGAAAATATAACTTCTACAATAGGAAGACACACTGATGATCTTCATGGAATCCTCGTCAAGTCTCCACACAATTTCCTCTACACCAAGCAAGAATAAGGACAAAAGACAGCAATTTTATTTTCATTTTTCATGAAATGGTGTGAAAAAAGTTTTTGAGGGTACAAAGATTTTCATAGATCCCAACATACAGACTGAATTAAACTTTTCTGGCTAAAATAACTTACAGATAGTTTCAGAGTATTTGTGACAACCTGGTTAAGTACAGGTATTGAGGGTGGATAAAACCATTAAGGACCAAAAATCACACAAGCCTTTGCCAATTTCTAGGATGCTGGGAGTGCTAGGTAGGTCATATTATGTCATATGCTTGGGCAGAGCAGAAAACAATACTAGACGTTCTTCCTGTCATAGATATTAAGACTTGTACCTTTTACGTTGTACACTATTAATATGACTTTTAAATGTTTTCTTACCAGTTCCCGGGGTCTCATGTTAAAAAGAATTCTCTCTGCATTCTCACTGTCGTGTCTGCTTTCCATGATGGCCAGCAAGAGCTTGGAAGCGTTGTTCTGGAGATAAGGATTGAGTCAATGCACAGGTAAATTTTCATGCATTCACCTGCATTTATTTTAATTAACAGTCAGAACCATTTTTCTTAAACTGCTGATTTCATTTGGCTTGTTGACATTTAAAAACCAAATAATTTACTTTCTTGTCAACACAAAGTAAAAATAATAAATCACAAGCAGTATTATGGGGAATGTTTTAAATTGGTTAAAAAAAGTGTTTTGAACACCAAATTGACTTTATATATAATGCTTAAGAATAAAATTGTATTTTCTTTAACTGTTCCCTCATTGGCATGTTTGCAATAACCTTTGTAACAGACAGTAAAGTGAACCAGAATCAATGGTATGCTTTACAGAAATAGTCTATTTTTTTTTTCATTTTAGCACAATTGTTTTTAATGTAAAATATTAGCTCATATTAGCAAATCAAAATTTTAAGTGGATCTGAACAAAAATTACCTTATGAAATTCTAATCTCATGAGTAATGCATAAATTCAAGTTTACTGGTGACATGTTGCCCACTTTTAAGAGAATGAAAATAATTTATGTTATCTTTGATGTTTTCAAATGTATGATTTCAACACTTTTACCTTTTATCACAAACATTTTTGATACAGTCCAGTTGTAATCCAGAATGGGGACCCAGGCTACAGCAAGGCCCACAGCACAACAGGCTCAACGTGGGGGAGATATTTCTTTCCCCTGTGTTGGCAACAGTGCTGCTCCCAATTTGTGCCAGCTGGCTGCTCCTCAGAGCTCCTGGGAGAGACTACAGAGCTTCACAATACGCATTCAGGTGAAAATCTAGACCTCAAGCCTTATTTCTGATAAGAACCAAAACTAAGTAGTCAATGGTTTTAAGACCCTTCTTAGTTTCTTCTTAGTTAAGACACGCCTAATCAATATCATATAGGAGGAAACTGAAATTGAATCAGTCATTTTATGAATGCAGACACGCAACAAATTCTGTTAAAGCCATGAAAAGTAATCTTACTGAGTAGCTTCAATAGAAATTCTATCCAACAATTTTTTTTTCAGAAGTATAGACTTAAGACCACCTTTAAGTGACTAATATTAGTAATGATCATGACAGTGGTGATACAATTGCCACAAACCCACCGTGAAAAGATTGAGCATTTTGTAGGGAAAGTGGTATTATTTTGTTCTGTTCCATTTTTGATTTTTTCAGATTTGTACCAATCCTAAAAGCCATTTTTATAAACTAGCATCCTGTACAAAGAACATACCTAAAAAATAAGGTTTAGGGATCAGTGAGGAGCATGAGCCTTCATAGAGATCCCAATGGACCCCACAGAATTCAAAGTTAAAACCCTGAAAACACTATACTCTCTGGTGAACCTCACTCAGCTGGCCTAGGTCATAATAACTTAAAACATATCTGATTCCAGAATGCTACTAGCAATATGGTATTTTTCTAACCAATCTTCTTTTTCGTACTATGCTGGAAGAATGGAAGTCTAGTATATGACTTCAGTCTGCATTTGAAAGCACAGGAGCTGATGTAAACTAAGAGATCAAATGTTTGTGCCAGTATTCATGGAGTTTTGTCTCAAAGGAAGCTAGAGTTATTAAACAAAGAAAGTCCTGTGAACAAATTCAGCACTTCCTTAGTCGCAGATGAGTGATGAAATGTAAACTTAAATGTAAAGGACGAAACATATGGATGAAAAATTTCATAAAATTGCACAGTAAATAAGTGCATGAAGTATATTCAAAATTATTAATAATGAGTAAATGAACTTAGTGGAGAACAAAATAAAACTTTAACAGCTTTAAATGCATCTCTATAATGTCATGAAGAATTTATAATTAAAAGCAGCCTGTTCTATTCATGGGAACACCTAAAATGTGCCAGTCTTTATCACGCTGTCTTAAAAAAGTTTCACAGGGGCTAGCAGATGCAAACCACATAGATTTTTTTTTAGAAAACTATTCTTTAAATATTTCAAGTCAAATCCATTCATTTTGTATTTTATACATACCTTGATTTAGCCAACTGTCACATTTTGAAAAGTTATACATAAATTGTGCTTAGTAACATAAATGAAATTTTAAATGATTCTCTTTCAAAAAAGCATTTCATTTGAATAGCTAGGGAGTATCTGTGCTATTAAGTCAGACCCTATCAGTCAGTGTTTTGACATAAGTCTGGATTTGTAAATAATCTGTCTGCTTTTATTTTAAATTGATGGATCATTTAGTATTTCCCTGCTCTTTAACTTACATTAATTCAAAATGAGATTTAAAGATAGTGTCTTTAGACTAATGAAGGTTTTAAGGCAACACAGATGGACCTTGAGAGCATTATACTAAATGAAATAAGTCAGACAGAGAGACAACTATGTATGATTTCACTTATATGTAGGATCTAAAACAAAAGAGAAAAGAACTCATTGATACAAAGAATACTGGTGGTTGCTGGAGGTGGGGGGTGAGTGGTAGGCAAAATTTTGAAGAGGGTCAAAATACTGTAGTGTATACTTGAAACCTGTTGAGAAAGTAGGTATTAAAAGCTTTCCTCAGAAGCAAAAAAGATGTATAACTATGTGTGGTGGTAGATGTTAACTAGACTTATTGTAGAGCTCATTTAGCGATTTACACAAGGATCAAATCATGATGTTGTACACTTGAAGCAAATATGTTGTTTATCAACTAGATCTCTAAATGTTTTGTTTTTTTTTTAAGGATTTCAAAAGTCAAAGACCAAGGCTTTGCTATGTTGTTTCTTTATGAATTGTGACTAATAGCGAATTTAGAGGAAATAAAATGGTTCTAGCACTTATTAAGCTGACTGCCACACAGGTTGAGGCTGGTTTCACCAAGGCGAGCGTGACGCTAGTGAGGACAAGGCCATGAGCTCACTCTACCTCAGGGCCACTTCCCTTTCATAGAGGTGAAAGACCCATAGCTTGTCCATTTTGCAAATGAAAATGGGGGGGGGCAAAAAAACCCCTCATTTCCTCTATTCAAAGAAACATTTGCTTACTTATTAAGACCCATTATCACAATCTTCAATCTGTATTTACAAACAGAAGTATGAAAACATCATTCCTATTCTTGGCCACAAATATAACCATGCAAAGTTAATTTTATTTTCTGTGATACCAGATAGGTGCCTTCGTAGAAAAACTGCATTTAACAAATGGATTTTTCTTTTACTCTTGCAAGACTAAACACAACAATATAGTCTCCAATAATTCATCTCAATTGAGTATCGTCATTTTGTCTCAGGGAGTTATAGTTTCTAGAGTATACTCATTTTTCTATTTCCATGAACAAAAAGCTGAAGAAATTTTTCTTTAATGCTGTTGTGTCCAGAGCTGATATAAATGGAAGGACTGGCAAGTGGTACCTGACTTGTGTCAACGGGACTACAGAAGTGGCTTGTGAGATTGATAATTTCCAACCATGTAAGTAAAATCATACATAGTTGTCTTTCTCTGTCTGACTTAAAAAAAATGGTAATTTCCATCCCTCTATAACATTTCCAGTGGTTCTCTTGATCATCAATCAATCTTTGTGAGATGCGGTGGGAATTAAGAGCCTAATGTAAAAGAAATCAACCCTAGGAAAGAAAAGAGTCAACCACCTACAAGGCAGACCCCTTTTACAGAGATGAATTAATTAGGACTGGCCAGACAGAATTTCCTAGTTAACAAGAACTAAAGGCGTGCAGTATAGTGAAGGGTCTGCACCGTTTGCTTTCTCTATAATGACAAACAAAAACAAAGAGTAGTAGTGAAACTAAATGCCTACTTGAAAAAAACTTCCAATAAAGTGCCCTCTGACTCAACATTCTTATTGGGCATTTTAGCAGGAATTCTGCTAAATTTTACACTGTACTCTCATTCTACTTTTCTGCCAATTCATTAAATGACAGTATGATAATATCCTGGTTTTTGCAAGAGCTACCTGAAGACTGAGGGTCAGCTGTGAGGGAGAGTTTCAAGCAGAGAATTTTACCCCCACCCCAAATAGTGGGTTTACTCTACCTTTAGTTGAAGCACCAGGTCCATCCGGTATTTACCAAGAGGGTTGATGTCATTTAGAATTAAAGCAATGATGATGTCAATCCCATTTGATTCATGAGTAGCAATACAAGTCTAAAAAACAAATGTTTATAAAGTAGCATCTATTTATAACATAAGACCATTAGAAGCCATGATAGAAAACAGAATCACCTTCACTTTCTGACCTTTAGAATAAAATTGCCACTCTGAGGTAAAGTCATAGGTAAGCCAAAGGTTTAATTCTGACTAATTCTTTTGCAGAATCTGACGATTAATCCATTAGTATCGATTAAGTGGCTTTGTATGCAGGACACTGAGAGGTATGGTGCAAAACAGGAGACTTTAAAATGAACCCTTTTCATAGAATTTCAAAGCATACCAGTTAAGTGAAATATTCTTTCAGTCAACACATTTTAATATACCCTCCTACAGAGAAACTGCTTATATTCAGAGTTTTCAGATATGATCGAGTTTGGCTAAGAGAATATTCTAACTTGGGAGGTCTGTATGTAAACTTTATCAGTGCTCATACAGTGAACACTCTGGCAGGGCCACTAGTTAGCTAATATTATCTGGGTGACAATGCTACTGGATAGCAGATGTTGGGGGATATGCACTCAATCAAGGGAAATGTTCAGCTGGCCTGCTACACTTGGGTGAGTTTAAAAGGGATCTTAATTAAGAGGAAGTTTATAAAACACCCTGAAGACAAAAATCAGTACTTTGAGGCTCCACAGGTTTGGCTGCTGTACTTAAATCATCTTATAGAACTTGAAACCCAGGAAATTGTGCTGGAATTTGAGGGTGGCCATGTCACCATGGAGCCAGGACTGTCAAGGGGGTTGAAACATCAACATCCAGGTGAGTTAAATGAGAAGATGTAAAATCAAAGTAACTCTGAAATGGGCATTATTTTTCAGATTGGACTTCAATTCACCCTTCATACAAGGGAATTTTTACTTCCTTCACACAAAGAAATGGTAATTTCCATCCCAGTGGTTCTCTTGATCATCAAAGTGTTAACCACACAAAGAAGGAATCACTGTGTAGGCCAGCTCTGGATTTGAAACAAACCTTTCTCTTCCAGAATTTTCACAGCACAGGGCTTAGAGTTGATTAATTTTTAGAGTAGGTGGGATTTATGGTATTTTATTACTTGCTTTCAGTTTTAGAGCTTACCTGATTATAAGTTACTTTCTACACTCAATTTCATCGGCAGTTAGGTTTTCTTGTGTTACTGCCCTAGGACATTAATACAGGCAGAAAGGGTGAAATCCACACACCCTTGTACCCTGTCACACACTCACTTGAGAGGGAGGAAAAGTACTCCCCAAACAAGTTACTTCTACCATTACTTGTGTGTTCATGTTCCTATGCATGTTAATGTGTGTGCTTATATGTTCATGCGTCAATGAATGACATATACACTACATGTGTGTATATAAGTCACAGGACGCGCAACAAAAAAGCAAGCCTCCTTGTCCCCTTTCTTTTCTATGTCAAGCATTGATATTTGGTCTCCATGCCTCTTTCAAATTTATATTTAGAAATCTATGAAACTTCTTTCTCCTGGGTTGGATCCATGCATATGAGGTGGCAAAGGCAACTGCCCATGGATGTGAAGCAAACTTCTCCCTTTACTAGCTCAAGGGCTCTGTCTTCTACTCCTCTCTGCTATCCCTGATGTCCAAGAAGATGGAGTCAAGACAAACATTCTGCCAGGAACCATTTGATTGGGATTCAGAACCAGAAGTTTCAAGGAGTTTAAGACAGACACTGCATCTTACTGATTCTCTTGCCCTGCGAGATGGGAACATTAGTCTCACAGTCAGAACCGATTTACCAGCAAAATAGTGACAATAATACCTATTTCATAAGCTTGTGAATATAGTAAGGAGACGACATACACAACCCTCTTCAGAGGAGCCAAGGAAGGCTGTGGAAGTTTGTTCTACTAATCATGGAAAGATTCACTGAAGATAAAAATTGGGCAACGATGAAGAAACATACTTTACTCTTTGTGATAAGTTTGATGTTTATCTGGGACATTTTCATGGGAATTTTCTTTTGCCATGGAATTAAATGAAAGCATGGCATAGTATTTGCTGGTCTATAATTCAGTCTTTGTAAGTTTTGTTGGGAATGTAAAAATACCTGCAAAGGAAGATGACCATGAAAATGTACACCAAGCTTGGCTCTTTTGCCAGTCTGACCCCCTGGCTAATTAGTTATGAGTATGTGTGTGTGGAGAACCGCCTGCCTGCTTACCTGATTTTCATGGCACGGGCCCTGGCAATACTCAGTCAGGCTCTCCAGGGTCTGGTTGACCAGCACAACGTTCTTCTCGTTGATGTAGAGACCCAATAGGCCCAGGCCCCCCGTTGTACTCCCACAAATGCAATCCAAAAACTGAAGGGTCTCACAGACGAGGTTGTAATTTGTTTTGTTGTTCTGATTCCTCAAGAAGTTCTGAAGGCAAGAGAAAAATATACCTTTGGGCTTAAAACAAAATCACTGTGCTAATTGTTTTCATTTCTCTCTCTGTTTGTTTTTCTAACTCAAAAAGATGCCTGTGGCAAGGTGAAATAGAACTGCTCTTTATAAGAAAGTGTTCACATTTATTAAATTTCTCTAGGCTTAAGGAAAGAAAGACATGGCTCCCCTGCCCTCACCTCAGATATCTATATTTATCAGTAAAGTTCATAACAAATGTTTCTTTATGTCACTCTAAAAACTATATAGAGAGGGCACATATAATAGGTACTAGGAAAGGAAAGTAAACTGGGAGGTTTGCTGGGCAAATAAGTCACCAGATTTTCAAGTAAGTGACTCCCTTCTCAAAAGTACAGCTTCAAACAGAGAATGATACAACTGCTTAGAGGATAACCTCCAAGTACCTATAACATTTCAGCTACATTCAACTCCCGTTCAAAAAAGTTCTTCAAGCTTTATGTCTAGCAGTTCACATTGGGCCCTCACAGTGTGGCTGGCTTAATAAACAGCAGCAGTACATCCAAACGCTGGCTACTACAAGGCTAGAAAAATGAGGTCCTTCCATAGGGGATGGTACAAAATCAACCCAGTAATATGTAAGTTAGTAATAAGATTCACCACCAAGTGTAAAAAGCAAGTTGCAGAATACTGTGCACTATCTTTTTTAAAAAGTCTATAGGCACAGATCAGTATGGTAATTACAAGTACATGAAAATCTCTGGAAGTAAGTCCAACCTGGTGACAGCTACTGCTTTTGGACAGTAAGTAGAACAGGGATCTGCCCTATCTCAGTGATTCTGTCTACTCAAAGTATCTCATGTAAGTGGAATCACAAAATATATGTGTTTGTGATTGGCTCATTTCTCTTAGCATAATGTCCCAAGATGCATCCATCTTGTAGCACAAGTCAGAATTTCCTTCCTCTTTAAGACTGAATAATATTTCACTGCTGGTATATACCATACTTTACTTATCCATCCATCCATCCATGCACGTGGGTTGCTTCCATGTTTAGTGACTGAGAATAAATCTGCTATTCATTGTTATCAAAGCAAAACTATTTTATAAGTAGTACATTCCACAATGTTTGATCCCACACTCCCATCAGTAAAATGTTTAGTCATTTTACAATGACTCATATCTTTCTACATAATATATTTATTTCCTGCATGGACAGACTAGCTGGCTCAGGACAAGAACACAGGCACATATCTAATATCCTCCCTCTGAAAGTGATGCTACTGGTCGTTGCCTGCCCAGAGTTCTGCAGCAGCCATCACCATGTTACATAGGGTGGTCCACAGATCTATGGTTAACCCCTGAGCATCTCAGCCCTTTGATGATATGTAGTTCTCCTAATACAATTTAGATGTATTTAACCTCTCAAAATGCCTGCACACTAGACACCTTCTAGAGAACACAGCTTCAAATGCTGCTCTTTCTAATATTGTACATGTGCTCCTGGAAACACTGAATAATTGTTGGTTACAGAGAAAATGCAGATCAGATGCCTACAGGGCAGATCCCAGGACTATTGCAGATTTCAGCCAGTTCCACTATAATTCAGTAATAAAATCTTTGGCCAACCTTGCCACCTAGCAGTAAAAATGACTTGGCATAATTGAAGGTGTAGATGATCTGCAGGTTGCAGTTGCTCACCTTCAATCAGGCCAACCAACATTCTCACCTGTCATGGGACTTTGCCATGGTGACGTAAGCAATGTGTTCAAATGATGCAAAATAAAGAGGCAAAAATTCCATGGGAACCCCTACTTAAATCCATCTATTGACAAAGAAAATGTATCAAAGATGATGTAAGACCCAAACTATGTCATTTACAAAGGTACCAACTTGCACTATTGTATGACATTCTCTCCTTCACTAACTGTTACTAATGAAGGCATACACTATCAAGAAAGAAGTGGATTGAAAGTGATGATTGTCCCTGAAGTCATGAGAGGTACAGATGGAGCAGAACATGAGGACTGATGCCCAGTGAGGCTAAATGTGAGTGGAAGACACAAAGAATGATAGTGTATGAGTCAATTTCATGCATAAAGGAATTTTCCAGTCATTTTTCTTCATTACATATGAAAGTTTCTTCCCATTTCAAAAGAGCACTATTGGTTTTATCAATTGATTATCTCTCCAAAACTCGCCCTAAAACTACTTGCTGGTATTTAATGACTTCTAATGATAGGCTGTAGTCTCAGCTGTCACGCAAAATGAAACAAATACCTGCAGCTCCCGGTTGTGATTCTCGCACAGTAACTGCAGGAACCTCAGTATGGGCTGCATGATGGTGATGGCTGGGCTCATGGTCACCTCCTCAGCAGACCTGTCTTCAGCATTCCCCGCTTCTGCCCCCGCGTACATGATGTCCACTTCTGGATCCATTTCTCTTCTGTACACGCAGTATGCTTTGGATGTTGCTGAAGAAGCTTCTGTTAATTGGCCTTTCATTCCCTCTTTTAAATGTAAAGTTGACTCTCTTACTGAAAATAAAGCAATACTCTTATATTTCTGGATTCATTTCTTTCAGCTAATTAAAGAAAAAGACAATCAGGTGCCTGAATTCTCTAACAATTGAATTAACAATTGTCTGATGAGAGGTGCAACAATTTCCCAAAAAGAATTTGAGGTGGCAACTAAAAATTTAAATTTGTACTAGGATGTGAAAAATGGAACCTAATGCTTAGCCAATTTTAGAAGGGCTTATGTTTTGCTGATAAACCATGAGAGTTCATAAATACAAGAAGGTGGGGAAAATACGGCAAACTCTGAAATGTCAAGTTTTTGATTTGTATTTTCTGCACTGAAGACTGTTAGTCTGAACACCAAGAAACTTTTGTTACATTTGGTGCTATAATTTCTGTTTTCAAAGTTTAAATTTCATGAGCACTTAAAAAGGTTTGGAACAGTTGTCCTTTTCCATGCATTCCACAATGAAATGGAATATTTTCAGATCACTAGTTGCTTTGTTCTGGTAATGCCTTGAATTTGGTCCTAGAGAGCTATTTCAAGGTCAACCATAACAACAGTAATATAAGGATGGAGCTCCATACTCAGGGTCACAGTTGAGGTCCTAAGAAAAGGTATGAGAGATGACAAAGATTTGGGAGTTCTCATTGGGAAGCAATTCCCCCCAGACACTCAAGTAATTCCTTACCCCTCAATCGTGGGCTGGATGTCATCAACTCGTTGTCATCATCTCTCTTTTTGTTCCCTAAGTCTATAGTATTCACTGTCACTGTTGATCTTATCTCTTTCTGAGCAGCCTTCATTCGGTCATAAAGAACTTTAAAGAATTTTTCTGACTTTTTTTGCTCATGCAACTGCTGGTAGAAAGAATACTGCAAGAAAACATATTTTAAAATCTCAATACCCAAGAGGAGAAAAACAGTATTTTTATGCTTGAATAAACACAAGCCTCTGGATAAAAGCACACATTTAATGTGCTGCCCATTATTATTTCATAAATTGACAGTTTTTGCCAGTCTCCTGGACTATTTAATGTGTGCTAATAATAGTCTGAGTACCTTCTACCATAATTTAATATTTTCATATGTTATTTAACTCACCTTACCTGATTATTTTAAAATCTCACAAGGACACTCTAAGAGATGCAAGCACAGAGTTATTTGATGTCTGCATTATTATAAAGTCATGCATCCATTGAACACATATTTGCTGAGTGCCTACTGTGTGTCAGCAGCACTAGGAAGCAAACAAAAAGGAAAAGCAACCAAGCAACCAAGGTCCCCGCCCTCGGGCATCTGGAACCCTGAGTAGAAGGCAGCCACTAATCCACAGACCACCCTCTGTCAGTGTGAGTTTGTGGAGAGCTACAAAAATCTGTTTTCCTCTTTCTCTAAATCACAGCATATTTAATGCAGAATGTGTTGTCATGGCAACCTCACTCAGGAACCCACTGATGAAGAGGCACTAAGTTCTGTGGGTGCTTTCTTTGCTACGTAGCTATGCATGGCATCCAGACAAGCCCACCACAACATGAATTCAGTTTCATGGTGCAAGATAACGCATAAAGCTTTCATCACCAGAAGTATGATAAAATATGCCCAGTGGAGGGGGAAATACTGAACTTTGGGACTATCTGTCCTGATCACCCTCTGCTTCACGCCCTATGGAAGTATCCAGAAGAGGCAGGAGATAGGAGGTGATACATTCCAGACAAGACAGAATTTGTAGTTATAAATTATTATGGGGAAGTTATAAATTATGAATACTGAAACCATGGGATAGAAACAACCCAAACGAGAAATAAGGTAAAGAAATTAGTAAAGGTAATAACCCCAGTAACTGCTGTGATTAAAAGAGTTACATAACCTTGATAGAAGACAGTGTTGGGGAAAAAATGATTTCAATGTCAAGTAAGAATTAGCCAATTCATAATCCAACCAATTCAAACACCACTTTGGGGAGTTTGGCTCCCACAGATGTTCTTCCCTGAAGGAATGCCCAGAAGCACGATCCAAAGGTTCTGGAACTTGCTGCTGAGATGCTAACTCCACCAGGTCTTGAAACACATGCCTGTCCTGTAGCACCTAAAATGGGCTCCATATACTCACAGTGCTTTCTGAGCCCACAGAAGCTGACTTCATGTCGACAAGAGGAAGCTCCTAAGAAGTGGAGGGCTAGCGGCCCCTCCAGGAAGGAGGCCAACAAGCCACAGTAACCATGGCAACTGCAGGGAAGCAGTGAAGCTGGTTCTGCTAATTCAAAGGATAAATGCAGCATTCACAGACCTCTCTAGTGCCACAAATTAAGCTGATGTTGAAACCTTAATATTCTCAATATAATGAGGTTAGGAGGTTATCAATGAGGAAGTTATAGGAACTTTGTGACTCTATTGAAACAAAGTTTTATAATTTTTGCAACTCCTTGATATAAATGATCGGATGTCACTGATACTCCCAATGCAGATGGATGATGAATAGTGTTTGCATTTCCATTTTATTAATAAAATGAGATTTCATGAAGCCAAGTGACTTGCCCAATATTACATAACTAGTAAATGGAAGAGCTAGGATTTAATTCTATATATTCTCTGATACTAACTCACTAAACTTACAACCTCATCATCTCAAATAACACATTACTTGCAGAGATTACACCTTTTAAAACCAGGACTCTATAAAGCAGTACAATCAGACTTTAATAAAGGTTAAAAGCATTTTAATATGTCTCCATACATAATCGCAACACGCAGTGAGGATTTCTCTTACAACAAGAGCTTTCCTCCACAAGCTGTACAGAGTCTAAGGGGGGAGCCCAAGGTTTCTGCAGGTGCCACAGGTGAGGGATAAACAAACACATGTGGGAGAAGAAGATTCTCCCCCAGGAAGGGCAAGGCTAGAAAATGAAGGGAAAGGAAGTAGATGTGAAGTAAAATGAGAGCAGGATGCTGGGTGAGCCAGCCAGCCAGCCAGAGATAGGGCGAAAGAGCACCAACTCTGGAGCTAGACTTCATGGGTTCGAATCCTGGCTCTACCTCTAACTTGCTGTATAAACCTGGGTAAGGAGCTTAAACAGTCTATGTCAGACTCTTTGGCAAGATGAGGTAATATGTAATTTACCTTCTAGGTTGTTGTGAGGAGTAACCAAATTAATGCATATAAAACATTAAAAACAGTGTCCTATCTAGTAGGTATTATTGTCATTACATCATTATTAGTGTTCAGTTTGAAACTAATAGAAATTTACCTCTTCTACCATCCCCCTCAACCAAGTTTTTAAATAACTTCTTATTGAAGTAACACTACATTATCACATTATGTAAATTTCCAATGTGCATGATGCTGCATCATCATATATAAGTTGACTTATGCTGCTAGGAGGGTGGGAATTAAAGAAGGAGAGCAGATTCCTGTCTCTGTATTAAAGAAGTAGGGGTGTCAAGAGATCCCATAGCTGAGAAAGCAAGGTGTCAGTGGCTATAAACAGTGTGGGGCTAAAACTGGGGGTGAAGAGAAGTCCTGGGGGAGGATGGGGTTTAGACTGCTACAAGGCAAGGAGTGGACTGCAAACTGACCTCAACTAGAACTCTTAGAACCAGGAGCCCATAGCTGATGTCCAGGTTAGACTCATAAGAAAACTGAAGAAGGGAAGCAGAGTGGTGTAAAGATCCCCACACCCATTTAAAGGTTACATATATAAAAAATAATGTCATACTGCTTCAACAACAAATCATTCCAGCATGGCTACAACGCACTGTGGGTATCAAGGATATGGCATGATCCCCTATTTTAAGGGCATGTACAGTTATTTGGAGAAGCAAAACAAACAAAAAAAGGTAGCACAGGCAAAGTGCTAAGTGAGTATCAAAGAAATAAGCACCCCAGGAGCTCAGATACAGCAGTGGTTGGTGAAGGCGCCAATCAGATAGGGAAGACTTTGTGACAGAGGTAACATTTGATTGGGGCTGTTTATTCATAGACACATCATCCTGAACACTGACTGAACCCCCACATTGGGCCAGCCCGGGTGTCAGATGCACGGGATACAAAGATGAATAAGCTGTGCGCTTGATCTTTGAGAGTTCATAGTGTATTAGGCAGCCTGTGAATACAAAAAGAGACACAAAAAGGTGGGCAAGAATGTTAACGGAGATACCTGCAGGGCCAGGCAGGGGCACTGAGGCACCAGGGCCAACTCTACCCTGGGGACACGGGGCCAGAAAAGACTTCCAAGAGACCTCAATGCGTTGAGTCCTCAATAGGAGAGTGCAACCAGACACGTTACACCACAGAACGGAGTAACTACAAATAGCTTAGCTCAGCTGGTGCACAAGACAGAGGGGGAGGACAGAGATGTGGCATAAGGGGGAACGTGGAAACACCTCAAAGATCTTATGGACTATGAAAGAGAGTCCACCTTTCAAAGCAAGTGACCCACTGTAAGTAAGTGAGTAACATCTTTTGGAAAGATATCAGAGGCAACATAAGAAAAGATGTGTAAAAGGGCAAAACTGGAATGAAGGAATCCTTTTGGAAGATTACTCTTGTGGCTCAGGAAATGATGAGAAGGATCTATAATAGAGCTGGAAAAGCAGAGACTAAAACAGAGTGTGGACGGGAGAGATGTTAACAGTGCAGAATCAGGGCCTCCCTAACGGTGCAAGGGGTTAAGCACCGCACTATGAAGCTGTCCACAACCTTTGCAGCACGAGTTCAATCCCTGGACGGCCAGGGAGAAACCCACATGGTGCAGCAGACCTCTTCTGACTCACCTGCTGCTCCCCTCAGCCGTGTATTTCAGTCAATCTGCCTGTTCTGTTTCCCACTCTGTCTCTGGTGAATCCTCTCACACCCCCTCATCTCTGGCCTGTACCCCAGCACTTGCATGCATAAATAAATAAATCTTAAAAATACAAAACAAAACAACAGTGCAGAATCACAGAGATGGCCCATCAGCTATTTGGGAACACAGTGAGGGTGAGTGAGTAGAGGTCACGGCTGGCCAGACAGGGGAGTAGATGAGTCGACTGCCTGTTACTGGGAGAAAAGCCAAAAGGAGGAGTGGGTGGGTGGGGAACAACAGTGTGTTCAGTGTTTACGTTAAGGTACTTGTGAGACATTTCACTGAAGATTCCTGAAAAGAGCTGGATATAGAGTGTAGACTTCAACAAGAGAGGGGAAAATTGTTACCGAATAAACGTTAGAGGTAAAAATGAATGAGATCGGGCTGGGGGCGTGGGGGGAGAATAATGAAAGGAGACCTTAAAGAGACTTGGGAGGTGTCAGGAGTCAAGAGTGAGGCAGAGGAAGAGGTGCCTCCCCAGAGGCTAAGAAGGGCTGCTAAGAAGTAGGTAGAAGGAAGAGAAGCAAGAGAGGGTGGTGTCCCAAGATCTATGTTAACCTGCTTCAAGAAGAAAGAAAAAGTCACCAGTGAGAACTGCCACAGGCATATCATGTGAAAAAGGACTGAAGGGTATTTGGGATGGGGAAGGATCTAGGGAACAACTTCTCAGCAATTTAAAATTGGAACATGAGCTTCTGATATGAGGACAGAAAGAAGCATAAGTATGTCCAGGGGGTGGGATGAAAGATGATCCACTCTGAAGTCCCTCAGCGGCCCAGACACAGGAATCTGTAAGTGCTGTAATCCCAAAGATTGCTTCTACCTACAGATAATTTGTGCTGAATTTAGAGTTGCTGAGACAATTTCTTTAGAAAGTCCCAATTAAATATCTGGTTGTAGATGACAAGACAAATTCCAAGAAAACCCACTTAATTCCCTCCACCACCCTCTTCTACTTTCCTCAGAGGAGTTTATGCTACAGTTTCAGACCACAAGAATTTTCAAGACTTTGTTTTCCAACTTAGAAGTAAACAATTTCGAGTCCTCTCTTGGCCCCTGTGCCACTGGTTTCCACAAGGTCTTTCTTCCTAAAGCCACCTGCCACTGGATGTGTCATAGAGCAAAACTCCTGTTGTCAGTTAAGGGCTAAATAAAGGAAGCTAGCCTAGTTTTTACTTAGATGCCACTTCCACTCACCATGAATAGGGAAAATAGATTCTGGAAGTTTCAGTTAGGTGGAAGCATGGTTCCCGTTCCTGCCACAGCAATTCTAGAAAGAGCAGCTTGGGGAGAAATGGGTTGGGAGATATTGATGTTCCCTGGGAACATGCCCAGCTCTGGGGTGCATGGTGTCCTTCTGGGTGTGAGTATGGAGGGACTCAGGGGCAACAGGCAGGAGTCTCACTCATTAGAGGTGTCGGGGTCATGAGACTGGAAAGTTTGCAACAACGAGCCAAGGGATTGGTCTGAAAGGGCACAGGGGACCCGCATGCTGAGCTGGGTGGTTCTGGAAAATTCCAGAGACCTGCTCTAATGCCAAGCTCTGAGCAAGGTGCTGGTGGATCTTAACTCACTTAATTATTACATTTAATTCTCACATGAGTCCAAATGCCAATTTTTATCTGCTTGGAATTTCCCTAAACAATTCAGAATATGTGCTATAAGGTTAGAAAGGATGTTTCTAAGGAATGTTCTGCATCACTGAATCATCTGTGAAGCTCTGTAGTTTCTATGGCAAATCAGATACACATGTAAGAAAAATGTGAGCTGGGGTCATTGCTTTTTTCTTTGGGATTGTTATGAGAAGCTAAAATTCCCTTTGGTCTCTACAACAAGGTAGAAATACAGAGAAAAAATGCTCATCAGGCTCGTCGTGATAAACAGGCACCTGAGTTGGGGGCCTCCCTGGTGGCTTAATGGTTAAGTCTCAGCACTACCATCATGAAAGCCCGAGTTTGATTCCCGGCCAGGGAGCTACCCACACAGCACAGCAAACCGCTCTTGTCTTGCCCGCTGCTCCCCTCAGCAGTGTATTTCAATAGATGTGCCTGTTCTGCTCCCCGCTCTGTCTTTGATGAATCCTCTCACCCCTTGAACCTCTGGCCTATACCCCAGTTCTATGCAAAAATAAATAAATAAAATCTTTATAAAAAACAAAAACAGGTACCTGAGTCTGTGTGTTTCCTCCTTCCAGTAAGGCAATACCCAGTAAAATGCCTTCTGAAAAAATTCTGTCATTTTTCGTGTTCACTATGACATCAATGACGAGTTCAGATGCACCCTCCTTATCCAGCAGACACTGAATGTCCGACAGTGATGTCCCCGTCTTGTCTGTATCTTGTCCAGAAAAGCTTCCTGTGATCAGGAACGTGAACAAATCAGACATTAGCAGCACACAAGGTTTCTAAATTATGAGACTTTAAGACTACTTATGAGTAGGGTTTTTCCCCCCATAAAGTTAAATATAATGGAAGTCAGAGAAAAAAAAATAAAGCTTGTAAAAACATTAACTATTTATTGAAGGTAAGACATGGTAGTTAAATATCTTTTCTTCATAAAAAATTATTTTGAAAAATAAAACTAGCCTTATTTTTGTCTTTACAGATTAATAACCTATGATTTATTTAACTATTTTCCAGTGTCAAAAGGCAAGACTAAGTATTAATATTCAAATCTGTTGTTTGGTGAGCCTGAAGCGGCACAAAGGTTTTCAACAGCATTCTTTAAATACACGTTCATATTTGTGCTATTTTAGGTGAAATACAAGAGTAACATCAGCATGAAGATATGTGATAAAAATCCAGGAATGAGGGGATTTTAATCGATCAGTCTTACCTCCTCCTTGGGGACACTTGCTGTAGGTTCCAGAGAGGTGTCCGTTCACACCCACTCCATAATCACCTTTAAAGTATCGATTCAGGAGTATTTTTCTTAATGTGTTGCCCTAATAAAAAGGTTAAGAGAAGCATTAGCTGTTATCTCTTTTTCTAATGAAAGGGAAAACATTAGTACATTAAAATGTCTCTTAAATGCATTTTATGAATGATGTTGAGATGGGGAACAGTTCATTTTATACTGCATATTTTCTAAGGCAAAACTTGCAAATGTTACCCAAGGAAATAATAATTTTTACTTCTCTCTGAAGAACAAAATACAGAATTTTCAAAAGAATGTACTAGAAAAAAACACTATGAATTTAAGATTGTTCAAAAAGCAGAGGGTCAGAATGCTAGTGGTATCCCCAAAATACAGATGAATAACCACCCCCCTAAGTCTTTAACAACAGGAGCTTAGTAAAAAGAGCTTGAAAGGTGCTGGGTATGTGGCACTTGCTCAAACACACGAGCTTGAGAGGACAGTGAGTGAAAGTCTGACTCCAAGAGCAGTATTCAGAACGCATGAGGCAAGAGATAGGGCAATCTTTAATAAAACAAGTAATTAAAAAATTCCCGAGTCTTCAATTTTGTAGAGCTTCCAAGAACATTTTAAAAATAATGCCTTTTGCAATAATCATTCTCATGTATGTACAAAATATTGATAACGCTACATCTGTTTTATTGGTTATAATTATTTTATTTTATTTTTTAAGATTTTATTTTATTTATTTATACAAGCACTGGGTACAGTCAGAAGCGTGGGAGGGTGAGAGAATTCACCAGAGCTAGAGCAGGGAGCAGAACAGGCAGACAGATGAAGCACACTGCTGAGGGGAGCAGCGGGCGGCAGGAGAGGTCTGTGCCCCATGTGGGACCCTCGCCAGTGGCCGGGGATCGAACCAGCACTGCAGAGGCTGCGGGCACCTTTGCAACCCAGCGCTCAACCGCTGCGCCACCAGGGAGGCCCCTATAATTATTTTAATAGACAACAACAATTTTAAAGTATTACTTCAAGAATACTTGAATAAAAAGGGACCCTCGTTTACATGAACCCAGGCCGCTGCTCCTCACAGCAGGCTCTCTACCAGACCGTGACTTATCTTGTGCAATTTCAAGAAAAACAGGGTTGGCTTCTCATATTTTTCAGCATTTTACATGATAGCTTTCAGTGATTAGAATAAGAAGAAAGGCTTCGAGCTGTAGAGATGAGAGTGACGGTGAGAACAGCAGGCTGAACTCTCCCTTAAAGAAATTAAGTTTCTCGTTCATATGATCTGACATTTATTTTTTTCTCCACTTAACAACTTCAGCCTCTAGTTTACGTGTCTAAAAGTTCTCTGACAGCCTCTCTTCCCATAGTGAGATGCACAGTAAAAACCCACTTCACTCCAAAGAAATGTTTTGTTTGGATTTTCCTCCCCTTTTGGGAGGATCATTTTTAAATTAGATAAAATTAATTCTACTCAAGAGGTTTTCTTCCCCACCCTCCAAAGGAAAGACTTCATTTCGTCTGTCATCTCTAGGTATGCACATAGGATTTATAGCGTTAGTAGAGCTGTGCTCATTCATAGAATAAGATGAAATTAGTCATCACCTTTAACACTTCACCCCATGGGAAAAAGTCTCCAATGAAGAAAACTTGAAATAGGAAGTTGGAATAAATGTCTGTGTTCTAAAAATTGAAGTATCGGTAAAAGACACAGTCAGGATAAGCAAGTCCAGACATTGGGTGTCTGCTGTCATCCTTGGGACTTTGGCAGTGGGACAGGTAATGCTTCATCTTGACTGTGCACTAGGGGGCTTTGCTCCTACTATCCTCTGGGGGATAAAGGAGGTGTAGGGGGGTAGGGGTGGCATCGAGGGGGCCCTCCTTGGAGCCACCCATTTCCTCTTAGGTGCTTCCAGAAGGTTGAATATTTGTGTTAATTATGGAAGTGACCTTTGAGGGGAGAGTTATATTTTATTCACTTAGGAGAGTGCTTAGAACACAGTAGCTACTCAACAAATATTTGTAGAGTGAAGACAGGATGAAAGAAGAGCTTCTCAGGTAGAGAATGTGATGTGAGCAGAAACACTTGGAACACTGATCAAGAAATCCTCCCATCATTCAATTTGCTTAAGACACAATGTGTGAAGACCCTGCGGGAAGCTGTAGCTGAAAAGGTAGAATAGTGAGGATTTCACAATTCAGGTCATGTGAACAAGAAAATTAATTTCTTTAAGGAGAAGTTCAGCCTGCTGTTCTCACTATCACTCTCGTCTCTATAGCCCGAAGCCTTGCTCCTCACTCTAATCACTCAAAGTTACAATGTAAAAAGCTGAAAAATATGAAAAGCCAACCCTATTTTTCTTGAAATTGCACAAGATCAGTCACGGTCTGGTAGAGAGCCTGCTGTGAGGAGCAGCAGCCTGGGTTCATGTGAACGAAGTTCCCTTTTTATTCTTTGTACGAAAGACTTTAACCAACTGATTTTAAGAACCCAACAAAGAGGTAAACAATCACTTTTTTTTTTTTAAATGGAGAAATACAAATCTGCTTTTTACCATTTGTTTAAAAAAAAAATGCCCTTTATACAAAAACAACTGTTGAGTGAGACTGAGTCAGGTCAAATTAAAGTGTCACATTTGCCATTATTTCTAAATTCTCTTCAGCCAGATACAACTGCAGGGGCTTATCAGATTCATAATCATGAAAATGAAATTCTGGCTGCACTCAAAGCTTGCATTTCCTAACTGTGGAATATTTGGAGCTCCCATGTCTGTGTTCTTAACTCTGGAGCCAGCAGCCTGGGTTCCAATCCCATCTACACCACATACCAACTGAGCATCGTCAGCCCGTTTCTCCACCACCCTGCGCCTCTGCCCCACAAATGTCTCAGGAATAACCACTGTCTCCACCCTCCCAGGGTTTCTGTGGTGAATAATCTGGTGAAAGTATGTAAGTTCTCAGCACAGCTCCCAGCATATACTAGTCCACATAAGCTGTGCTGTGCTTATCAGTGGATGTGATCCCAGGACTATCAGTGTCATCCGGAGCACTGGTCAGTTCATAATATACTAAGTGCTTGTCCATACTCTCCCACTGGATCTAAGACCTCTCCACCTAAGTGGGGGGAAATCTAACATGCTAAGAAAATGGCAAAAATAATTAATGATAAACTGCCTGAAAATCCTGATTTGTCCACCAGTCCTCAGTCCCTGGAATGATATAATACATGTGAGCCAGTGTGCTCATCCTTCACTATATAAAATGGAACTTACAACTTCCATTGAAATGGAAGAAACTCTACCTTTGTTCAAACTATAGTTTTCAAGAATGGCAGAAGAGTCCATTCTTGGTGCTAAAAAATGAACAAAGAACAGCCACAGATGGAACACTCTTGTGTTTGTCTTGGCCATCCTCACATGAGAATGGAAAACTTCAGATGGAGCTACGTCACAAATTTAGCAGAATGGATTTCTGTTGGCAAATCCCAAGTTCTGACTTGAAGGATCAGGGGCAAGTGGGTGGAGGGTCTCGGCTTGTCTTGGGGCATTCTTGGTGGCCTGTTTGGTGTATGATGGATGACTGTCGTGATGGCTTGGATGTGAGTCACCTCCATCTTTCACTCAAATAAAACCATTGCAGAATGCTTGTGAGAAAGTCTGGTGCCAGGATTGTAAATAATTGTCTCAGAGCTCTAACTTCCATGGCAGGAATGTGCGGGAGGACTGAAAGCACATTAAGGCATCTTGGAAAGGATTGCACAACATCTGAGAAGTTGCACTTCTGTGCTCATTCTTCACATCCAAAATGAATTCTTGTGGAGGTTCCCATGGAAGGTGTCTTTGCTGGGTTGGGCCAAGCAGCAAGCAGCATCCTTGCCAGTCTTCTCAATGTCAGAGTCAATTCCAGGCCACAAGACACAGCTTGGAGCCAATGTCTTCATGTGAACGCATCCCAGATGTGCCTAATGTAGTGTAGCCAGCAGAACTAACAACCACCTTCTGAAATTACAACAAAACATCTCCATAAAAAGACATCTTCTGTGGTCAGAGAAGGCAGGCTGACAGACTGGGAGTATCTGGGAGGACTAGCTCTTTCCCTTACCACTTCCTGCAGCACCAACTGCAATGCATCAAACATTAAGAAGCTTCGATATGATTGCATTTCATGGATAGAAAGAAACAACAGCAATTTATTCACCTCAAAAAGGCCTAAAGATTTTCTCTGATTTTCAAGAAAGCACAACATGCTGCCTTCTGGCAGTTAACAGCATCGGGAGTGTGGAGGTCCCGCCTCCACATTTGTTCCCTTTTCCTTGGAAAAATGATACAGTGATGTAATACATTTTTCCACTGTGGACAATATAATCAAGACATCATCAAAATATGACACCACAACCAGAAACCTAGAAGATGAAGTCCTGGGCTGGAAATTCAAAATTAACAGAAATCGCCCATTAAAGATGCTTGATGTAGGCTTCTTCAAAGACTAATGACTAGCTATTAATCAGTCTGGACAAGATCTTCAAGGAGAACGGTTGTGTAGTTCCCCCACAGTCTCGCTGTAACATTTAACTTGATATTAGACTAACTGCTATTTCGCTAACCTTTGGTTCCCTGACAGCATGACTGTGAGATAGTCTTCCTTTGAATTCCAAGGTACATTTCAAGTTTCAAATAAATTATTGCAACAGCTGTAACCTAATGGAATTACATGAGGTCCATTGCTATAATTAACTACATCTGCAAGGAAGTCCTCTGGAGGAACATGGCCAATCACCTTTAATCTAGTTATGTGATGGTTTGACTTTCTTGGTCACTGGCTTCAAGGAGTATAAGTAAATCCTTCCTCCTGATGGTTTCTACCCACTGTCTTGTAATGAAAACCACAAATTTTAACTGTGGTTACTATATACATTCACAAGACGCTCTTCATCAACACAGTGACACAATCATTATAATCTTGAAAAACAAATTTCTCAATAATTTTATTAAAGGGGCTTTAAAAAATCCTGGAAAAACCACTCATTGACACACCACAACGACAACCTCTGTCTTCCTTTCCTTCTACTTCATCATTGTG